TTTATATGATGATGAGGTCATCCTCGTCCATGTCTTCAACACTACCTAAGTACCCCATTTCAAGTAAATGGAGCCATAAATAAGTTTTTTTTTTTGAATAAACAGCCCCTGGCCCACTTCCTGAAAATAAATGTATTCTTCCTGTTATTCTAAGCAGTATACCTCCTTTATACAGATTTTCAAGTTAACCGATTTATTGATTAGATGTTTTTTCCTGGTCCACTTTTCGGTAAAAAATGTAGTCTTCCCTTTAATCTTATCAAAACGCCACCTTTGCACTGAACTTCAGTAAAAAGAACCATATATAAAATAAATATATAATATAAAATGTCACCTTTTTACCAAATGTCAAGTAAATCCAGCTAAAAGTAAACTTTTTTCGAATTGATTAGTTCCTAGTCCACTTCACGGAAAGAAGTGTTGTCTCCTGTTAATCTAAGCAAAATACCACCTTTGTACCGAAATTCAGTTAAATTGATTCATAAACAAGATTTTTTGAATGATTCAACTCTGGCCCACCTCCCGCGAAGAAGTGTAGTCTTTATGTTAATCTTAGCAAAAGGCAAACTATGTACCGAATTTCAAGTAAATAGAACCATGATTAAAATTTCTTGAATAGGTCAGTCTCTGGCCCACTTCCCGAAAAGAAATAATTTCTTCCTGTTAATCTAAGCAAAACACAACCTATGTGCCGAAATTCAAGTAAATACAACCATAAATACGATTTTTTGAATAAGTAAGTTCATGGTCCACTTCCCGGAAAAAGCTGTAGTTTTCCTGTTACTCTATGTAAATTGCCACTTACTTGCCAAATCCAGGCATAAATAAACTTTTTCGAATGGATCAGTTCCTAGTCCATTTCCTGCAATAGGTGTAGCCTAGCAAAATGTCACATAGATACCAAGTTTCACGATAACATAGCCATATGAAAAGTTTTTACGAAAATGCTAGTCCCATATCCACTCTAAGGAGAGAAGAACTGTTAAAATACGTCAAGGCCAATTGAGCGGAACCATAATTATTTATAATTTTCTAAATAGGCCAGTGACTTACCCACTTCCCGGGGAGAAGCAAAATGCTGCCTAAGACCTAAATTGAAGTAAGTACAGACATAAATAATCTCTTTTGGAATAGCTCAGTCATTAGTCCACTTCCATGAAGAAAGTGTAGTCATCCCTTTAATTTAACAAAATTTCATTAGTTACTGTATAGAAATATGTCAGTTCTTGGTCCATTTCCCGGAAAGAAATAAAGCCTTCGTGATAATCCAAAGAAATTGCCACCTATTTTCTGAATTTCCAGTAAACCAAGCCGTATATGAACTTTTTTTAAAAGGTTAGTACCTAGCCCACCTTCCGGAGAGAAGTATTGTCCGATATTTTTATAAGGTTTTGCCCACTTTCCGAAAAGAAATGTAGTCTTCCTGTTTATCTAAGCAGAATGCTACCAGAGACCGAAGATAAAGTAAACACAGACGTAAGTAATATTTTTTGAATAGCTCAGTCACTTCCACTCCAATTCTTTGAAATAAGTGTAGGCATCCCGATAATCTAACAAAATGCCACCTTGTTACTGAATTTCCAAAAAGCCGGCCGTAAATAAACTTGAATAGGTCAGTCCTTCCTATAAAGAAACAACAACAAAGATAGCATGGCCGCAAAAACAAATTATAAATATATAAGTTTAACCTGATACTTAATCCTGCCTATACATTTTTCAGTCAATTAACGCCTCAAAGTATAGAGGGTTTCAACAAAACTCACTAACCAAGCTGTTAAGAAAATAGCGGCTAAATTAGCACACTTAATAGTTGTTGGTTAATAATGAATTGAATAATACAAATACAGATTATATGGCTGATGTTGGCGCAGTGGGAGAACACTCGGCTGTTAAGTCAGGATCCGTTGGTTCGATCCCTGCCATAAGAAGTCTGATGAGGAGATGTGGTGATCTCCGAAACAGCTGTCACTTCTACCATTTTTTCTTTGTTGTATAACAAATATTCAATTCATGCAAACAACAAGGCCTCGTAGTTTACTTGATAAAAATTAAATATTCTGTTTTTGAATTGCTCAGTCATTGGTCCACCTCCTTGAAAGAAATGTAGTCTTACCTTTAATCTAACAAAATCCCACCAAGTTACTGAATTGTCAGTATGGCAGTAAATCCTGCCAGAAATAAACTTGAAAAGGTCAGCCCTTGGTCCACTTCCCGGAAAGTAGTGTAGTCTTCGTGTTAATCGAGCAAAATGCCATCTATTTACCGAATACCAAGTGATTCCAGCAGTAAATAAGCTTTTTTCGAAAATAAATGTAGTTTGCCTGTCAATCTAAGCAAAATATTTTTTATACCCCGAATTACAAGTAATAAGTAAACTCTGTTTCGCAAAGGTTAGTCCATGGTCCATTTTCTGGAAAGTAGTGTTGTTTTCCTGTTGATCTTAGCAAAATGCCACATATATACTGAATTTCAAGTAAATCCAGCAGTAAATAAGCTTTTTTCGACAAGTAGTGTAGGTTGCCTGTCACTCTAAGCAAAATATCTTCTATGCACCGAATTTCAAGTGAATCGAGCCATAAGTAAACTTTTTTTGAATAGGTCAGTCATTGGTTCACTTACCGAAAATAAGTGTAGTATTCCTGTCAATCGAAACAAAATGCCATCTATTTACCGAAATTCAAGTAAATCCAGCAGTAAATAAACTTTTTTCGAAAATAAGTGTAGTTTGCCTGTCAATCTAAGCAAAATATTTTTTGAATAGGTCATTCCTTGGCTCGCATCCCAGGAAGAAGTGTGGTCTTCCTATTAATCCAAGAAATGCAACCTATTTACTGAATTACAAGTTAATCCAGCCACAAATAAGATTTTTTCGAATAAGTCAACTCTAACCCAGTTTCCGCAAAGAAGTATAGCCAAATCTTTTTAATAGGCCAGTCCCGGGTCCACTTAACGGGCCATCCTTTTTATCTAAGCAAAAGTGAAGTAAGCCGAATCATAAATGATATTTCTTTGAATAGAGCAGTGATTTGCTAGTGGATATCTAAGCAAAATTAAACCTATTTACTGAATTTTAGGTAAATCCATCCGTAAATAAACTTTTTTCGAAAAGGTCATGGTACACTCTGCGGTTAGAAGTACAGTCTTCCTGTTACTTTAAGCAAATGGCAACATATTTACTAAACTTCAAGTAGATAAAACCATAAATAAAAATTTCTTGAATAGGTCAGTTCCTGGTCCGCTTCCCTGATAGAAGTGTAGGCTTTCTATTAATCTAAGCACAATGATATCTATTTATAAGATTTCCAGTAAATCCAGCCATAAACGAGATTTTTTTGGATATGTCGGTTTCTGACCCACTTCCCGAAAAGAAATAAACAAAATACCACCTATTTACTGAATTTTGGGTAGATCTATCTGTGTAGACCTCCAGGCTAAATCAAGGGGAATACCACCCTAACATAAATTCACTTAATATACAAATAGAGAAAACCTCGCACACAGGTACACGCAGTCATAAAACAAAAGGTGAAAGCAGAGTTTTTACTGTAGCGGTCTATTGTTGCATTCCCCTCAAACGAAAGAACTGCTTTGAGGGTGTGAAGTATTTTCCCTTTGTTATTTTCTGTACCTTACATATTTAGAAGACATAGACGTTCCGCAGCCATACCTCGTCACCAAAAAGGTAATATTTTATCATATTATTACATTATTTTACGTATTAATATTATATATTACCCGAACCAACTATTTTCGAAATAAATCAATACTTACAATACTTATTTCGAGCGAAACCACAGGGGCATTGTTTAAATATATTTGGCACAGGTTTTCATGGTCCTTCGAGCCGGATAGCGGTGCTTGAACGTTTCTAGACGACTAAGCCGTCCAGGGGTAGGGGAGAATATTTACGCGAGAAGCGTAAATCCTTGCATAACTTTGGGCACTGGCTAATTGCTTCCAGTTATTTGGGTTTTTGCTTTCTAGCATATATGTATGAATGATTTTGCATTCATACATATATGAAAAAATGCAATTCTCAAATGATCAGGGAAGCGATACGGCTAAAGTGTTCATTGTTTGCAGTGGAATTGACCTTCGTAAGGTCTAGATCAGATATCTAATTATCTGATCTGTTTTGCGTGTTCCCATCCCTGCTCAATTTAGTTGAGTGGAATGCGATTGGCGTCTGTGCAGCGTCAGGTGCTTCCTATGGCATTGGGTAAAGACCACGCATTTTTGAAACAAGCCTAGTGCTCAACTTGAACGTTTGAATATTCTCCCCCACCCGCTTAGGCTTTATGGATGGTGTACTTTTTTTGAAAAGGTCAGTCCATGGTGCAGTTCCCTGATAGAGGTATAGTCTTCCTGTTAATCTAAGCAAAAGGCAACGTATTTTGTTTCGTCTCGGGGTTAGTTGGGGGCCGAAATTCCGGCAACAGGGATCGTGGAAGGTGTCAGTCCTTCAGGAAGCTGTAAGAAATCCCTAAGCTTTCTCCGAATAAAGAACAAGACACGGGTCTTTTATGTAAAATAATTCAATAAAATTTATTGAATTAGATGGGAAAAATAAAATATATATACGTGCAAAAATATATAACACAAAAGAACACACTCACCAAGAGATGTTGCTGTTGTGGCTGTTGAGGAAAAAAGAGGCGGAAGACCGGTGGAACTGGTCTTTTAAGGATTTCCACAGAAGGTGGAGAAGAGTCATATTAACGGAAAACAACAGCGCCATCTGTTGGTGAATGTAATAGCAGCTGCCCAGGGTTGCGCGCATAAACATGCCGCGCTCCTAGCAGCAACACTGCAAAAATAATCTTACAATTTTCTAAAGCTTTACAATAAAAATAATCTTACAATTTTCTAAAGCTTTACAATTCATTGTTGTATTATATAAAAGTTCAAAGGCTTAATTTATATACAATTTAAAATTCAAATTTACATTTATTCATTTTTGACTTAACACTAAATTTTCTGCCTCCATCGCTGCCGTCTATTATGGTGAACAGCCAGAGATCACCCATCCAAATATAATGTTTTGGGCAGCCGGTCGCGTCGGGGTTGCTGGCATAAGTCCTGCAATATCATATCTTATACATCGGCACCGAGAATCAGTGGCATCGCACTGGACCTGTAAAATGTTGGGTCTGTCAACCGCAAATTGTCGAACTCGTCGACGACCCTTCCGTCCAATGTGCGTACCGGCGTGGTCTTCATGAGACTTGTCACTACCTTGGCGGTCAGACTAATCCGATCCCGCCAACCTTTCAATGTTAGGTCTATGCTTTCTGCATATTCGCGTGGCAGCAGGTGCAGTCATCTCGCCAGTGTTCTTAATATCGACGACCTCGATTGTCCTGGGTCGATCAGGGCACGGACCAGGTGTCCTCGGCAACTTGCCACCACTCTCACCATCACAGTTCGCGAGAGGACAGACATACCCAAGGCACTTCGAGCAGGTCCTTTGATCCGCTCGCGGGCGTCTCTCATCACCGACGAAATCGTCAACCTCTAGGTTTCGGTGAGGAAACTGCCACTTTACTCCCTTGCGCAGTTCCTTTAGAATCTCCACCTTCTATCGCTGACAGAATCCTTGGTGAAGTGCTTTCAATTTCTGCCATCGGTTGTCAACAGGTTTCCGCTGGTTTCGGGTTCAGCGATCGCAAGCAGCGGGCTTCCAACTAGAAAATAACCCGGGGTTAAAAGTTCAATTGACTCAGGATTATTGGAGAGTGGAGTTTAAGCAGGCTTCGATTTTGGACAGTAACATCGAAAATTCCTCCATGGTAAAGCGCATGGCCCTTGCTACTTTTCGAAAGTGCGTTTTGAAGCTCTTCACTCCTTCCCCCCATAATCCTCCCGTGTGAAGAGCCGTTGGAGATATGAAGTGCCAGTTGATTTCCTCATGCGCATATGACCGCGTGGTGAGCTGAGACGCTTCAGTCATGAATTTCCTGTAATCATGCTTCAACGGAGTTGAATGGATGAAGCGGACAACCACGTCTTGCTACAAACCTCTCGAAAGCAGCCAGAAATGTTGACGTCGATAAGTCGCTTGTCGCCTCCAGATGAATCGTCTTTGTAGCGAAACACAAAAATACGCAGACGTATCCTTTTGTTATTAGACATGCTCGGCATGTGTAGTTTTCAATGTCAAACGGGCCCGTGAAATCCACGCCAGTATTTGTAAAGGGTCTGGATACCTCCGTTCTTTCGGGTGAAAGCGCAGCCATTAAATGTTCTCGTGTCTTTTTCCTATGAATGAGACAAACTTTACAATTATAAATAACCATTTTTATTAAATTTTTAGCAGTACTACCCTACATTCTGACCTCATGAGTCTCAGCATGAGCTGATTTCCACAATGTAATGAAATCAGGGGTAAGAACTTGGCAAGAAGTCGAGAAAATTGGCAATCATATGATAAGATTGTCGGGTATCGTTCGTTGTACGATAGCGACGCTAGCGCTAGACGAACGTCTACTCTCATGATTAAGTTCTTATCAAGAAATGGATTGAAAGTGCGGATAGAGCTCTTAACGCTCATTGAGTTTGCTGACGCCAGTGCATCGTATTCATCCGTAAGAAATTATATATATTTTCCGATAGAATTGAAAAATTCGCGCAACTACCCTCAACGCGCGTGAAAAGTCGGAGAACCGTTCCAAGATGTCTTCTCTGATTTGTGCTGCGTGAGTCCTAATGCCTTTCTGCTCCATCTCCGTAGGCAGTGGCTCACTCTGCCTCTGAGGCCACGCAGACGGTTGCTTCTGTAACCAGCTGGGACCGTGCCACCACAGAGTGCTCTCCGCAAGTTCTTGGGGGGGATACGCCGCGGCTACCAAGATCTGCTGGAGATCTGCTCCATTCGCCACGAAGGTAGTCCAAAAGCACGGGGGTGTCTGCAGCCATTAGAGCACAATACTGGAGTCTGTCCATTTGTAGACCACTGGTTGAGCAACATCAAACGGTAGAAGTAAAGCGTTAATTAACTCTGCCAGGAGTAGTGCCCCACATAACTCTAACAGTGGTAGAGATATTGTTTTTACTGGTGCTATTTCTGTTTTGCTTACCTATAGATTTACGTTTGGAACGATACTTGAAATTTCGTTTCCGGACTCTTACATATAATACCGCAGCATACGCCTTCTCGGAGGCATCACAAAATCCATGAAATTCAATTTCATTCCATGGGGTATACCTAACCCACCTTGGAATTCGGCTTTTTGAAATGTGAACATAGTTTTTTAGAAAATTCTCCCATCTCACGTAAATGCTTCTAGGTATGTTGTCATCCCAGTCTATCTTAGTCAGCCAAATATCCTGCATCAGGATTTTTGCCTCGATGACGATTGGTCCTAACCAACCAGTGGGATCGAAAAGCTTTGCTACACACGATAATACCTCTCTCTTGGTGTAGCCTGGTTTTACGTGCATTTCCTGGACGTTGAAATGAAACCTACCATTGAGCGCCTCGACCAGTTCATTTCGTGGGCAAATGGCACCTGCGAGGACATCATCAACATACATATGTTACTTTAAAACCCTGGAAGCTAAGGGTATTTTAGGTTGATGTACTCTGCCAGCTGTTATAACGTCCCTGTCGCTTGGTATGACGCACAATAAACTCCAAAAGTCACAGTTTGGAGTTCGTAGTCCACAATCTCCTCTTCGGGCCATTCTGTAAAAAGTATCTTATGTGACCGAGCATCATTGGGATGTAGTAAGATTTGTCGATACATCTTCTCAATATCTGCTATGCATACATATTTTAAAAATCTCCATTTAAGTAGCAACGCAATGAGATCGGCTTTGGGAACTGGATCAGGATGTAGTTCATCGCTTAAACTTACCCCATTAGATGTTGGGTTAGATGCCTCAAACACTACCAAACCTTTGTAGTGGTGCTGTCGGGTTTTATTACTGCATGATGTGGCAGATAATAAGACCCTGGTCCTTTGATTTCAGGGTTGCTGTCTACTGGTTTCATGTGACCGAGAGTTATATATTTACGGAGTACCCGATGGTATTCTACTTTAAGCTCCGGCTTTCGTACCATGGCTGCTTCATTTCTTAAAAATTGCTATAATGCATCAGTCCGTGAATATCCAAGATTTATGTCTACTGGGAATTCCTGCCGAAATGGAAGTGTCACGATATATTTTCAATTTTTTTTCTGGTCGTCGTATTTACATACTGCTGCTGGCAGAGTGTATCCTCAGGAGTAATCTGCTTTTTGCTTGGGACTTGTTCTAGCTCCCAAAACTGAGTGAGCTCAAAGCTCGAAATTTCGGTGTACATTGAGACATATGATCTTGGGATCATATTCGGGGGTGAGGGGTTGGACCTATTAAGATGCAACCGAAGACTGTCTCCTGCGCCAGAAGAGAGCCTAAAACGTTTGTATTCAAGTTTCCCATCATTATTTGCGGGTACAGGTCCGCACCTGCTGACTTATATTAAAGTTGGCATCGGCCAAGTGGATTGGGGGCAGTAGGCCAAAATCTACTTGGTTTACTGAAAACTGGGAGGGGTTTCCTGTCAGTTGGGGGAGAATCAGGCCTCTTGCCTCAATTCTAAACTGGGGGTTGACAGGAGAACCAAAAACAAATTGTGCGCCTTATCGCACCTTAGCCGACGTAGACGCATTAATACCGCATATCTGCATGTCAAACGGTTGAGTAGGCAATTTGATGACTCGTTGCAACCGCTTTGTGATGAAAGTGCCTTCTGATCCCGAATCCAGAAGGGCTCTTGCCTCATAGTTCACTCCAGAGTAGAAGATATGTACCATCGCCGTCCCCACTATTACATTTTTCGCATTTCTTGCGAAAAGTGCGTTAACGTTCCTTGATGTGGATGGGGATTGATCAGGCCTCGTCTCCGAATTTTCTTATACTGGCCTATTTTTTTGGGAAAGACGGATTCCCAGTTGGATTCCGATGCAGTAGTGAGTGATGTCGTTGATAGAATTCAGGTTTAGCTGCTTGCAATCTCTGTCTAGGTGAGGCTGTGCTAATCAATTCATACACAAATTATATTTTCTAGCTATTTTGACGCGATCGTCAACTTTCATAGCTGGAAATTTTGGGCATGCTTTTAACATATGGATTTGTTGTGGGCACAGACTGCAGGCGGGGTGTGAAAACAGAGCATGATGAGTTGATACCCTTTTCCCAAAGGATGCTCTGCATTGTCCTAGACACTCTTGTTCTTTGAATGTCCGAAACCGTTTCCAGCGTCGGAAACCTATTTGTGAAAAATTATCCAGCTCTTCCCACCTCGGAATTTCGGCCTTCTGCACGATTCCCTGCTCCCATAGAGCTAATGTGTTGTCCGGCAACCTACTGAAAACTAAAAAGACTAAAATTGCATCCCAGTTGCTTATCTCGATTAGATACATCTGCAAAACTGAGATGCAATTGTTTACTGCTGGTTGCAAACTCTTTATTTCCGCGCCGCGTTCGACAATCACGTTTGGGAAGTTGAACAACGTTTTCAACTGGCTGCTTACCATCACCCTCTTGTTTTTATATCGCTCCGACAAGTTCTATCACGCGGTTATAAAACCATCATTGGTCAATAGGAATTTCTTCACGATGTCCTTTGCTTCCCCACGAGTCTTATGGTTTAGATGGTATAATTTCTCAACCGGTGTCAGTCGAGAATTATTTATATAGATGGCAGTGAATAAATCACGGAACGTTGGTCATGCTATGTAATCACCATAAAAAATTTCAGTGTCACATGGGGAAGATTCATACTTGAGCGTGGAACCGGTTCAGGTTCGCGCGCTGCAGGGTCAGCCGTTGATGAGCTTTGTTAAACAAAAGTCAGGTTAAGCATAGTCTCGCCCATCAGTGCTGCAAATGTCAGGTATGCTGAATAGCACACCTGATACCTGGTCTTCGCTGAGTGTTTGGGTATGCTACCCGCTTCGTCTGCCGATAAATTCCGCGAATATACATCGAATGACTCCTCCACTTTCATCCACAACGCCTTCAGTTCTTCCATTTGTATTTCCAGCGAAAAAACTGAGTGATTTGCGCTTGGAGTGTTGTTATTCAACTCTTCAAACTCTAACAGTGCATTACAGGCGCGGAGAAAACCATTAACGTGAGTAATTATGAAAGATTTTAAGCCGAAATAATTTTTAAAGAAGTTATTATTTATGGGAATGTATCCGTCAGTCCGCCAAAGCTGATAGTCGTTGTACCAGTACGAAAATTAAAGGATTTAGAGATTTTCAAGAAACAAGAAGTAGAATCTGATACTTCCAATATACCAGCTTGTAACGCGTAATTAATTTTATTTGCGTATTTTCCACGGATTAAAAAAAAAAACATTAGTTTAATGAAAAATTATTTATAATTCTAAAAAGTTTTGTAAGTTTGAATTGGAAAATGTATCGATATATGCTGTAAGTCTCACGGATACTGCCGTTTACTACGTTTTTGATGAATCCAATATTCTACTACTTCAAGCGTTGGACCTTTTGTGCGGGCCTTGTTGAAATCGTTGGGCCGTTGGAGTAGGCCTTATCGCTATATTAGTGGGTCAATTGCCCAGAAATATATTTTTTTCTTAATATAAAAACTTCGAAATGCAGGAATGCCTTAGTATGTACGTGTGAGCTTGGTACTTCCGCTGTACCAGTTCGTCACCGTATGTAAAAACCCAACCCGAAATTAGTTCGCATGGCAATTTAATTGTTTTATTATCTGTTTTTTGATATAAGTATTAAGTAAACTACGAGGCCTGGTTCTTTGTAAGAATTGAATATTTGTTATACAACCAAGAAAAATGGTAGAAGAGACAGAGATCGGAGATCACCACATCTCCTCATCAGACTTCTTATAGCAGGGAACGAACCAACGGATCCTGACTTAACAGACGAGTGCTCTACCACTGCACCAGCATCAGCCGTATAATCTATTGTGGTATTATTCAATTCATTATTAACCAACATCTGTTAAGTGCGCTAATTTAGCCGCTATTTTCTTAACAGCTTGGTTAGTGAGTTGTGTTGGAATGCTCTATACTTTCAGGCGTGCTTCTCTCGGCGTCCAACAGCTACGTCGATGGGTCCTAAATAGTCGTCTATTGCGGTATATCTGACATCTTTTGGCACAATCTCTTACGAACACGCGCAGCGCGGCTACAAAGAATCGTTTTCGCTCCTCATTCAATGATGGAATTTTCTATGATAAAACTGATTTTATGAACTGAGTGACTGGGTGATTCTTCGGGAGTATTACTGGCCATTGACAGCTATGCAGTTCCGCTGCTACGTTTGCTGTAGCGACTTCTATCTCTGTCAAAGGCCAATTAGATTCCGACTCAGTTAGGAACATTGGGCCATGGAGCCAGCGCGAATCGTCATCAAATTTACGTTCCCCGTCCCATTTCGTGCCGGTAGCATTCTCAGAGGGTGGCACCCACCTCCAATCTTTAGCGCAAGAGCCTTCTAAAATTTCTCCGATACGTGTCGCAACGAGCTGATGGAATCCTATGGCATCTGAATTTACCCAGTATATCACGTTTTTTGAGTCCGTCCAAAAAATTTTACAACTTACCTGAATAGAAAGTTCTTCGCTTATGAATTTTGCGAATCTTAAGCCCAGAACAGCCGCCATCAATTCCATTCTATTAATTAAAACAAATTTCAAAAGCTTAACTCTCGTCTTCAAAGCTAACAGCGAGCAGCCTAGCCGGTTATTACCCTCAGCACGCACATATGACACGGCGACATAAGTGTTGATGCTCGCGACTACGAAAATATGAATTTGATTACCTTCGCTGCACTTAGCGAGAGTGTAGCAGCGAGAACCATGATGTTGTTTATAGAAGATATTCGCCGCAACCAATCAAACCAATTCTTTCGTTCATGCTCTCGAATACGCTCCTCCCAAGTAACACCAGCCCACGAACGCCAAACATCCTACAGGATAATTTTTGCGTATATGACAACGTTGCCGAGTAGTCGAAGGATCGAATATTTTCATTGAGGTACGCAGAACTTGCCGTTTTGACGGAAATTTAGACCCGTCCAAGACTTCTTCTGGAAACTTCTCTACAAGCGTCAGTTCGTCCGACACTGGAAGCCACCACATTCCTAACACCTTTTTAATAGTAGCTGCCGGCTCTTCAAAACATCTTGTAAACTGCTTCTTAACGGCAGAGAGTTTGATCAGGGATCGTCTCGAATTTGATGCCCAATTTCACAGTTCGAATCCGCCTTGGTTGTGAGCCCAGCGAACCGCAGTAGCCATACGAAATAAGTCAGTGTTTGCACTCAGGAGTCAGTCATCGACGAACGTGTAGTTAATGACGACAATTGACAGCCTCAGGGTTAGTTTCTGAAAAGCGTTGAGCATTTTGGTTCTTTACATGGTTCGCCAAAGAAGGAGGGCACCAAATGTTATTACACAGACGGCGTAGTTGTCTGGCTTTCGACTGAATTCACCATAGCGCCATAAGAACATTTGGGCTCCCTGCTCTGCCTCTGACACCTTCACCTAATGAAAAATCTTGCGTATGTCACCACAAATAGCCACAGGTCTTTCCCGAAAGGAAAGAAATATGGTCAGGTCCTTTCAGCAGCATGCTGTTCAAAGCAATATCTCCAACCTTGGCTGCAGTTTCCCACACCAATCTAGTTTTGTTTTTGTTGGTATTAAGCACCGTGAATATAGGAAAATACCACGACCTACTGCTGTTCGATATTTCTTTCGGCTTCGATTTGCCTACGTAGCTCTTTTTCTTGTAGTCATCAATTTTGTCGGCAATAAACTGGTGAAGAGAA